GCAGTGGCATGATCTCAGTGCACTGCAACCTCTGCCTCCTGGGTTTAAGCGATTCTTGTGCCTCAGCCTTCCGACTAGCAGGGAATACAGGCATGTGCCAGCATAGCCAGCTAGTTACTGTATTTTTAGTAGAGGTGGGATTTTCCCATATTGACCAGGCTGGTCTCAAACTCCTTACCTCAAGTGATCCACCCATCCTCAGCCTCCCAAAGTGCTGGGATTACAGGTGTGAGCCACCACACCTGGCCAGTTACTTGGTTTTCTCTCTGGCTGGAGACTGGCCTAGTGGTAGAATTTCAGAGCTGGAAAAGACCAGAGATCCCCTGGTCTCACTGTCTCCTTGCTGCTGAGTGAGTTACCTTGGCTGGCCCAGGTAGTAAGCAGTGGCTCAGAGCCTTGCTTGTCACCATGGTGCTAGGAAACCCAGTTGACTGTCATCTTCCATGTGGGCTAAGCTTTCAGGGCTCTAGTTTCGAAAGCATTGTGTCTTTGATCCCCTTACTTTCTTTCTCCTCCTGTGTTTCAACATCCGTTACTCGTTTGGTCTGTCTGATGGGAACGGGCTGCTGGCTGCATTTGGTCCTCAGGGAATTGTGCAGCAATGGCTTGGGTCTCCCAGCACCCTGTGCAGGTCTCTTCCCAGACACCACAGTGACCCCTCAGGTTTTGTTCTTCCAGGTTGATCCAATGCTCACCCCAGAAGAGCGTCACCTGAACAAGATGCAGAACCATGGCTATGAGAACCCTACCTACAAATACCTGGAGCAGATGCAGATTTAGGTGGCAGGGAGCGCGGCAATCCTGGCGGAGGGGTGCAGGCAGGCCGGAAGATCCCACAATTCCGATCAACTGCCGACCAGCAGCTGCTGCCAGGGGCTGCATCTGACGTCCTGACCTCCTGGACTGTAGGACTATATAAAGTACTACTGTAGAGCTGCAATTTCCATTCTTTTAAATGGGTGAAAAATGTTAATATAACAATATATGATATATAAACCTTAAATGAAAAAAATGATCTATTGCAGATATTTGATGTAGTTTTCTTTTTTAAATTAATCAGAAATCTCACTTCCATTGTATTGTCTGACACATGCTCTCAATGTATAATAAATGGGAAATGTTGATTTTCAATAATAGACTTATATGCAGGCTGTTGTTCCAGTTATGTTGTGTAAGTCAACTCTTAAGGCTCATTCCTTGTCCTGGCTTTTATTTAAAGAAAAAGAGAAGGCAGTATTCCCTTTTTAAGTGAGCTTGCAGGAAGCTGCTGAGAAATGAGGTGGAATAGGGAACTACAAAGAGCACGGAAGCACGTGATGACAGTACCCTCACAAAACGATGCTAAAGGACCAGTTTCTTGAAGGCCAGTGTTCCCACGGCTGGATACCCTTGTGTCCCCATACAAGTCCTGTCACCAAGGACGTTAAAGGCATGTCATTCCAGTGTCTTCTAGAGAGCTTAGTGTATCCAGATGAGGGTGTCTGCTGCTGCTTTCCTTCCGAATCCAGTGCTTCCTCAGAGATGAGCCTGTAGCTTGTATTTGACATTCTTCACTGTCTGTACCTGCCATAGCTTTTTACTCTTCACTTCCCCTTCCAACTATGTCCAGATGTTGGAAAGGTCCAGGCTCCTCCTCTCTGGACCTTTCTCTCCAAAGGCACTTACCCTTGGCCTCTGCTTTGTCCCCTCACCTCCACCTGCTGCTACTGTCACCAGCCTTGTGACGTTCACTCAGAGATCACACCAAGGAGGCGGCTGATGGCCCAGGAGAGAACACGGGGAGGTTTGTTTGTGTGAAAGGTGAATAGTCCAGGCTGTCCCTGAAACTGGGTCTGTGAACACTGCGGAAAGCTTTGAACAATTGTTTTCTTCACATGAGTCTTTGTAATGCTTGTACAGTTGATGTTGATGCTCACAGCTTCTGCTTTTTCTTTCTTGTTATTTTAAATCTGAAGGTCTGGTAACCTGTGGTGTATCTTTTTTTTATTTTCCTGTGACTTTTTTTTTTTTCTTTTTCCTCCCCTTTGACCCTATTCATGTCTCTACCCACTATGCACAGATTAAACTTCACCTACAAACCCCTTAATATGATCTGTGGAGAATGTACAGAGTTTAAACACATCAATAAATACTTTAACTTCCACCGAGACAGCTTGTTTCATTGACCGCAAGATTTATCTGTGTGATGGTTCTGCCCCCTGCCTCCAGGAGTGTGATACCTTCCTTCCACAAAAGACCCCAGCTGCGCATCAGAGGCAGAAATACATCTCAGGGCTTGACTCTAGGCCTCCAATTCTATTTGGCATTTAGAAACAAAGTAAGCGGGAATGTCTGTGTAGAACATTTGATTTGTCTGGCAAAATTTAGGCTACTGATATTTATTAATATGAGATTTCTTTTTTTTTTTTTTTAGATGGAGTCTCGCTCTGTCGCCCAGGCTGGAGTGCAGTGGCACAGTCTTGGCTCACTGTCATCTCTGCCTCCTGGGTTCAAGCGTTTCTCCCACCTCAGCCTCCCAAGTAGCTGGGACTGCAGGCACATGCCACTATGCCCAGCTAATTTTTATATTTTTAGTAGAGGTAGGGTTTCACAATATTGGCCAGGATGGTCTGGATCTTTTGACCTCATGATGCGCTTGCCTTGGCCTCCCAAAGTGCTGGGATTACAGGTGTGAGCCACCGCGCCCAGCCTAATAGGAGACTTAATGCTAGTGGAAACAGTGAGTAGGGCTTCTAGCTGAATTTTCAGAGAAATGCTTACAGTTTCCATTTGCTTAAATAATCTGCCACTGGGGGGCCCCATCCTCTCATTGATGGGGGTGTTTGGTTTGTTGCCTTGACAACTGCTTAGAGGGCTTTCTGCCTGGGGACAGTTTTGTTCTCTGAGCTGATATTTTTAATGCCCAGCTGCGGGAAAGAGGGTCAATTTAGGGGTAAATCTTAGTCCCTACCCTAGTTTAATGCCAGTTTAAATATATGGAGTAGTTATCAAGGGAATGCGTATACGTGTGTGTAGATGTACATGTGTGTACCTATGCGACAAATCTTCTCTAGGTACTGAGGCATTTTATGAACGAGGAAGCCTCTTGTGAGCCAGGTGAACAGGCTGGTTCTTTATAACAATCGCCACTTCCCCATCAGCCTCTCCCTCCTGCCTGCGTTGGCCACTGAAGTTGCTGCTAGGAAAGCCCTGAAGAAGAGGGAACTTTTGTGTTTTTCAAAACCAGTTTCTGCTAGAGCGCTCTGAAGAGTATTGTCACCCAACCCTCTGCTGTATCAGCTGGAAACTGATCTCGGGGTCATTCTAATTTCAAAGCTAACAAACCAGCTTCATTGATATTTAGTGCCTGCCATGTACTAGCTTCCTCCAAGGCAGTGCCACATTTTGTCAGAGTGACAGAGTCTCACTCTTGCCCACGTTGGAGTGCAGGGGCGTGATCTCAGCTGACTACGAACTCTGCCTCCCAGGTTCAAGCAATTCTGTCTCGGCCTCCCACTAGCTGGGACTATAGGCGTGCGCTACCATACCTGGCTAATTTTTGTATTTTTAGTAGAGACAGAGTTTCACTACGTTGGCCAGGCTGGTCTCGAACTCCTGACCTCATGGTCCACTCGGCCTCCCAAAGTGCTGGGATTACAGATGTGAGCCACCGCGCCCAGCTGCCTTTAGTCTTAACCTTTTGAGGCATTCCCCTCTTCCAGAAAGAATGCTGAGGTCTTCCATGGATCATTAAGGCGTAGAGCAGAGATGCAAATCCAGCTTGGTGGGAGTTCTTCCTTTATTCAGTGTACATCAGTCATGGAAGATGGGCGGGGGGCAGGGGGGGCGGGGGGCAGGCTGGCAGCCAGTACCCATCCAGCTGCTCAGGTCTCTTGTCTTACCCATCACTCCCATTCCTGTTGATGAGTTAGGAGTTTTGGGCTGGTGAAAGTGCAGTAGTTTCTATTTACACATTCATTACCCAAATGGGGTCATTGCCGAGACAGTCGGGGTTAGCTGAGAACCAGGGAGGCCTGAGAGATGACGTGGAAATGTACGAGAGGCAGGGCTGCCAGGCTGCCTCACCCTAGGCTGGCTCCACTCTGCTCCCTGGTGGCTCAGCCACCTCCCGGGAACTGAGAGAAGCTCATCTCCTGGTTTCTGCCTTGGTGACTCAGCCTTGACCTCGGGAATGTGGCCCTGCCCACCTTGCCTCCAGCCTCAGGTGCAGACAGCCGACAGGTGCAACAGGTGCGAAGGTCCTCCTACCCGCCTGTCTGCTTTCAATTGCAAATCAGCCCAGCAGCTGAAGTCTGAGCCAGGACATCAGATGCCCTGATCTCTGGTTTCAGTTGTGACAACTGATAAAGAGCTCTTACTTTAGGAGGCGCAGATGAGGATGTAATGAGTTCCTCAGTTCTGGAGAGGCCCAAGGGTCCACTCTCATAGGAGCAGGCAAAAAAATATTTTAAAAAGGAACAAAAATAAATAAATAAATAAAAATAAAAAGGAACATCTGTCTTGCAGTACTTTTAAAGTCACAGACATAGAATGGATAGAGGGAACTGGAAGGCACCTTAAGACTCCTGATTATTGCACAGCTGAAACATGGCCACAAGGTCACACGCTGTTAGGGGCAGATGCAAAGGCCGTGGTTATGTACAAAGGACTCTTCTGGGACAAAGGGTAAAGTAGTCCTTATAAGACAAGGAGACAGGTGTCAGCTGGTATCTTGCCTGTTACCACCTGTGAGGTAAGGGGAAGTAGCGTCTGTTCTGCCCTCTGTGGGTACTTACTTTTGACAGGCAGTAAGGACCACGGACTTTGTTAGTGTATTTCCACTGTGGAGCACCCAGATACCTGGAGACTGGGACAGGAGACATGAATTGTTTTTTTCCCTTGAATTCTTGAAATGGATAGGGCATGGCATTCTTGAGGAATCTGCCAGAGATCTGTGGCCAAGATACAAGATAACCCGGATCTGATTGATTTTTTTTTTTTTTTTTTTTTTGGTGTGTGGTTGAGGCTTGACCTAATCAGGTAGGCCTAAGGCAGGGGCAGGAGCTGTAAATCAGTCAATGCTGCTCTTTCATGCAGCACTGGGACAGCTCAGGGCTGAGCTCCATAGGCAAGGGGCCTGCCTCGAAAGCAGACAAAACCACTAATGGGAAGGGAAGGTGAGGCTGGCTTTAGTGCAGGGAAGGGTAACATTGGGAGGGGGATGTTCATGAAGGAAAGTGGGTAGCTGAGGCTTTAACTGGCCTGCACGGGACAGGAGTTTAGGGGAAGTGAAAAGGGCCAATAAAGTCATGGGGGTAAAGAAGGGAATAAACAGGAGAAAGGAACAAGGAGGTAGGTGCCGGGTGCAGAGTCCACCTGCTCACCACAGCCTGGGCTGAGTATGCGCTCCTCACTTCCACCTCTTGGCCTTCAAGGCACTGCTTGTTGTCCCAGACAACCACCCTTGTGTACAGAGGTCTTGGGAGGAAGTGGCTGGACTTCATGTAGGTAGATATCTTCTCCAAGCCCTCAAATCAAATTGGGAGATGAAGTCCTTTGGGTTTGGGAAGGCGTCCAAGCACTTGGGCTTAAATATACAGCAGAGGTCAAGGACATCACAGGCAAGGAAATCTACAAAGGTGATCTTGTCTCCAGCAAACCATGGCCCCTTCCCCAGGAACTGTGAGAAGTGCTGCATCATTGTAGGAAGTCCCTCCAAGTATTCTGGCTTCAGTTTCTCAGAGTCAGGTCTGTAGCAGACTCTGGCCAGCTGATTGGAGGTGTCCATAGCCTGGTTCTCCAAAATGTCCACATGAATCTTCTCGTCTTTTGTCTCCCCGCCGTCCCCCATTGTGTACTTCTTAAGTCTGTGTGTTCCGGGAGCAGGCGGATGGCATGGGCCAGCCCACGGATGTCCCAGTACCCCAGGGTCATGGACTTAGTGCTGGTTCGTGTGGATTTGGCAGACAGGCCTCAGCTGGGCTGAACTGCTACCTCCTCTGGAGGTTCCTGTGCATTTGTTTCGTTCTGTTTTTTGAGACGGAATCTCGCTCTGTTGCCCAGGCTGGAGTGCAGTGATGGCCCACTGCAACCTCAGCCTCCCAGGTTCAAGCGATTCTTATGCCTCAGCCTCCAGAGCAGCTGGGATTACAGGCGTGCACCACCATGCCTGGTTAATTTTTGTAGTTTTTAGTAGAGATGAGATTTCACCATGTTGGCCAGGCTGGTCTTGAACTGCTGACTTCGAGTGATTCACCCACCTCAGCTTTCCAAAGTGCTGGGATTACAAGCATGAGTCACTGTGCCTGGCCTGGTTGAACTTAAAATATTGACGTCACTGCCTCTTTCTGATTAGAGCAGTGCCCTCCATCAATAAAACGTTTATAGTGTGTACCATATACACAGTTTTTAAAAAACTATTATTATTTTAAAATTATCTGCATGTATTATCATAAATAGAAACTTGGAAGGCATAAAAAAGATGAAATACTTTTTCTAAATTTTACTTAATAACAGTACAAAGCCCTTTGGGTCCAGTCAAATATTGCTAGTTTTAGTGCAGGCAAAGTGATTGCTTTCATTCCCTCCTTCCTCTCTCCTGATGGAAGTCCGTATTGTTGATTCAGATTTTCTTAGTGTTTACCTAATGTCTTCTGTTTTCTCCCAGGAAATGACAATGTATTTAGGCTCCTCTGGACAGCAAAGGATTCTCAGACTTTCCTTGTTTTGATGATCTTGACAGTTTTGAGGAGTTATTGGTCAGGTATTTTGTAGGATGTCCCACTATGGGGCTTTGTCTGATGTTTTTCTCGTAGTAATGCATGGGGTTATGTGTTATTAGGAGGAAGACCAAAGAGGTGAGGTGTCCTCCTATTCTAGCAAGGGTACGCGCTGTCAACATGACTTAGACCTTGACACCTGGCTGAGGTGGTGGTTGTCAGGTCATCTAAAGTTAATCTTCCCTCGCCCATACTGTCACACTGCACCATGGGCAGCCCGCACTTAAGGGATGGGAGTTATGCTCTCCTGTATCTTATTTTTGTAATTGTGTTTTAGTACTTTGAATTAAAGCAATTAGAAAATCTGGTTCAAAGGTCGGTTTGTTGCAATACTGTATTTAATGGCTATCAAAGCTGAAAGAGTTATTGATTATGGTGATAATTTCACAGGTGTAGATATGTGTCAAAACTTACCAGATTGGACACTTTCAATACGTGCAGTCAATTGTATTTCAATCAAGCTGCTTTTTGTTTTTTGGGGGGTGTGTGTGTGTGTGTGTGATGGAGTCTTACTCTGTTGCCCAGGCTGGAGTGCACTGATGCAATGTCGGCTCACTGCAGCCTCCGCCTCCCAGGTTCAAGAAATTCTCCTGCCTCAGCCTCCCATGTAGCTGGACTACAGCCGCCCACCATCACACCCATCTAATTTTTGTATTTTTGGTAGAGATGGGGTTTTGTCTTGTTGGCCAGGCTGGTCTCAAACTCTTAACCTCAAGTGATCCACTCGCCTCAGCCTCCCATTTGGGACTACAGGCATGAGGCATACTGCACCTGGCCAGAAAAAATAATATTTGTATTTCATGATCAGAAAAATTAACATCTATTACACCATGAGAGGAGCTACATTAGAAACATCTGTGCTTTCATCCAAAGCTACCATACTCTAAAGGTTGTTTTTTACTATATCTTCTAAGAGCATTTACTAACAGAAGAATGGATTATAGTATTACCATATCCTTTTCTGTGTATCATTTAGCCATTTTTACTGTGGAAAGAAAAAGTGATTCCACCATGGTTTAGGGCTTTTTGCCTTTAGCATTTAATGAAGAAATCTCAAGCTGTGCATTTATCAGTTCTTAATGAAACTTTGTCAATTACTAAATCGAGTTGAGTGACTTTAAGCACTGAAGAGATTGTAGTGGCTTGTCTACATGTACTGGACATTTAAAATTTAAGTCTCATTAATCACATTGGCCTCATAATATTAGTTAATACCTCAAGACCACACTTAGAGTGAAGAATATCACTATTAATAGTAATTGTAAATCCATGGTCTTAATAACTTAAACTTTTTGGGGAATGACTTCTTAGATGGTAATTGTTTTCAGCTGAGGACTGAGCTCAGCATGTAAACAAGTGAGTCAGTGGACTTTAATTTTAATGAAACCTGTGTATACCCCACGCAGCACCCTGGGTCAGGGAGCAGGATGAGCCAAAACTACATATACTAGATGGAAGGAGGGATGAATTTGGACGTGCAGATGTTATGGATAGGGCAGAGGAAGTCAGAGAAACACAGAGCATCAGACAAGTGGCCCATGGTGACGTGTTTCCAGAAACACTCTGAGGATACGCTCCCACGCTTGACTCACATTTCTGTGCATCTGCATTTACCCAGTTTAGGGATACCCCAGTGTCTTTTGAACAGCCCTCCTAGATTGGAGACTTTTCATCTTTTGAGTCCTGCCTCCCTCAGGCAGAAACCAGAACTCTCCTCAGCTTCCTTGCAGGTAGGACACAGACATGTAACTGAGGACTTAAGGAGATGCACTTGCAAGAGACTTAAGAGGCAACAAAGAAAGGACACAGGCACTGCAGTGATCCCACTTTCTGGTGGGGTGGAGGTGGAAGTGACCTGCTCCCGGGGCAGCAGCAGCAGCGCTGGTGAGTGGGGCTGGGCTCAGGGGATCAGCTCTGGCGGCACCTCCTTGGGCGGGAGCAGTGGGGGCAGCCCTGAAGCCTTGTGGTGTGGCTGGGGCCTCGTTTCTGGCTCTGTTCCTCCCACACATTCTGTGAACCTCCTAACAATTTTTAAATAATTTCCTTTTTTCTCCCTCAAATTAGCTATGGTGTTTTTTGTGAGATGCAAGTTGACATAAATTCCATTAAGTGCCAATTTACTGAACTCTAATGGAAAAGTTGTACCTGTTGCCTTCATTTGATAAAGGAGGCAGGTTTAAAAACAAGTGATATGAGAACAAGAATTCTCAGTGTGAACAAGAAAATACAGATCCCAGATAGAATAAGTCAGTACTCCGTGATCCTAAATTAGAATTGGGAGTATCAATATGAACAGAATGGGTGTCTTATCTCTTTCCAAAAGTCCTGGCTTTGATTACCAAAAGCCCCAGAAACAAGGACTAGGTAGAAATGAGCATCCCCTTGGAAGATCTTTTTTCACAAAAAGATATTAGGATGTCTTAAAGAAACAGCTGATTGCATGTGTGGGCAGGAAACGCACAAAGTAAATCTGCAATGTCATACTGGAAAGCAAACAAAAAGATCAAAGATGACAAGAATTGTGTCTAAAGGACTCAGCTGACTTAAGGAAGATCCCAGTGGCCAAACAGGGGACACTTTGAACATGAGTAAGAATAAAAACAGCAATGCACCCAGATATATCAAATCTCTTTTAAGTCCAAGAGTTCATAATAATACAAAAGCAAGCAAACAAACACCAACTGGTGACTTTGGAAGATGTTAAAGAATTAACTATTTTACACCAGCTAAATAAAGGGAGAAGGAGGGCGAGGCAGGTAGATGACCTGAGGTCAGGAGTTCGAGTCCAGCCTGGCCAACATGATAAAATCCCATCTCTACTACAAAATACATAACACCATGCTACAGTCATGGTGGCATGGGCTTGTAGTCTCAGCCGCTTGGGAGGCTGAGGCAGGAGAATCACTTGAACCCGGGAAGCAGAGGTTGCAGTGAGCCAAGATCATGCCATTGCACTCCAGCCTGGGCGACAGAGCAAGACTCTGTCTGAAAACAAACGAACGAACAAACAAATAAATTATTAAATAGAGGCTCAAGCATTTATCCTTCCTTTCCAATGCAAACCTTACCGCCGGGTAACCACCGGGTAACCAAACATGATGAGAAATTTCACTTTCTAGAAGTATTCCAGAAAGTGAATAAGCAAGGGATGAAAGATTGAAATCTTGCTGTTCCCATTTCCTCACGAATTTAGAATTCAAGCACAGAGCTCACAATATGAGACAACCAGACATGCCACGTGTTGAAGAACACACCTCCCACTGTGAAGTCATCTTCCCTCCCAAAAAAGCAAACCTTTATCTGCTTGTGCCTCTAGATATGACAGTTTGCTGGGAATACAAAGGACAAGGAACCCATGACATAGACTCCACTATGAGAACACAATCAGCAGAATCCTAACAGCAGGAAAGTCTCCAGAACAAATGATCTAGTTTTTTCAGTAAATAGACTGTTAAGAGGGATGAAAAAGATGAAGTGGGAACCTACAGATTTAAAGTGACCAGCTAGGCGTGGTGGCTCATCCTGTAATCCCAGCACTTTGGGCGGCTCATCCTATAATCCCAGCACTTTGTGGATCATTTGAGGTCAGGAGTTTGAGACCATCCTGGCCAACATGGCGAAACCATCTCTACTAAAAATACAAGAATTAGCCAGGTGTGGTGGTGTGTGCCTGTAATCCCAGCTACTCGGAAGGCCTAGGCAAGAGAATTGCTTGAACCCAGGAGGCAGACGTTGCAGTGAGCTGAGATCGCGACATTGCACCTCAGCCTGGGTGACAGAGCCAAACTCTGTCTCAAAATAAAATAAAATAGGCTGGGCAAGGTGACTCATGTCTGCAATCCCAGTAGTTTGGGAAGCCAAGGCAGGTGGATCACAAAGTCGGGAGTTTGGTACCAGCCTGGCCAGCATGGCAAAACCCTGTCTCTACTAAAAATACAAAGAATTAGCAGGGTGTGGTGGCATGCATTTGTAGTCCCAGCTACTTGGGAGGCTGAGGCAAGAGAATCACTTGAACCCGGCAGGCGGAGGTTGCAGTGAGCCAAGATCGCACCACTGCACTCCAGTCTGGGCAACAGAGTGAGACTCCATCAAAATAAAAGAGAGAGAAAAGAAAAGAAAAAGAATAAAAACAAGGGGATATTTTTCTATAATCCC